ACAAAAAATATTTATAATACAAATTTAACAAAAGCTTCCTAAGAAGCAAAAACAAACAATCCACGGTTAAGATCGAAAACAGCGGATGTAATTGCTTGACATTTATTGATGTATTATTTCACTTCTCGCTATTTTTCTATGTCTCTAATCTCAGTGTATAGGTATGAAATAAAGTTCTGATATGATATACACGAAGCTGACGAGTTTAAGACTAGTAATTCCTTAAAAATCTAAAAATTTTCAACTTATCTAAAATAGAAGAAAATAAATAATATCGATTCAAATTATCAAAATATTATTTGGATCCTGTAACCTCAAGTTGTTAGTGAACAAAATTAATTGAGCAAAGTGACAAAAATTTAATTCAACATCAGCGTATTTGGACAGGTCCTATGATCCAACTAATTTCTAAAAAGGCGTGGACCGAGTATTTATGCTCAGTGCATAATATCCAACTTGTACTTCTATTCTTTAGTTATGTAATTTGATAATACCCTGAACTCTAACTTTATCGTTATCATTATTTATTATGTCACTTCATTCTATTTCATTAAAATATATATTTTCCACTTTTTCTTCTGTTCAGTCGGATCTCCATCGTCCCCTTAAAAAAATGATTTCATGACCTAGTGGTTAGAGCACTCGACTCGCAATCTGCGGGTCAATGGTTCGAATCCCGTCACCAAACATGCTTGCCCTTTCAGCCGTGGGGGCATTATAATGTAATGGTCAAACCCACTATTCGTTGGTAAAGAATAGCTCCAGTGTTGGCTTCCCTCTAGTCTATCACTTCTAAATTAGTCACAGCTTAGCTAGATAGTCCTCTAGTAGCTTTGTGCTAAATTCAACAAAGAAGTAAACAAATAAATCGTCCTTTGTTTTAACGTTGTAGTACACTCAATGACGCTTCTAGGAAATAACTTTTTATATCGTCGTTATGTACCTTATACAATAAATGTGGCTATCTATGGCTATAATTCGCATAAGACATGGTTCATATAATATATAATTGGCGTTTTTTT